ACCTTAATGAGTCTTCACTTCACTCAATTATGTGCCTTTCTAAAACTTTGGATTGTTTCCCAAGGTTTTTCACCTCAAAGCTATTAATAAAAACATATTAACCTTAAGCCATATTTAAAACTTTGTTTCAGTTACGGTGCACACCAAAACCTGTGAACACATCTTGCAACAATTAAGATTAAAAGAACTTGAGTTAACTTAACTTCAGGTGCAGGAGAATTATCTGTATTCTGTCAATCATATTTTAATAAAACGCTGATTGGCCAGGCAGGCAGTATAGGCGGGAAAGCCAGACAGGAAGTAGGGGTGGAGCAAAGAGACTTGGAGTATTCTGGAAGCAGAAGCTCTCTCTCAGCCATTCCTGTACAGACCACCGAAGAGGCAACATGTAAGCTGTCACACCGAGAAAGGTACCGAGCCCATGTGGCTAACATAGATAAGGATAATGGGGTAATATATGTTATAAGAGTTAACAAGAAGCCTGACCTAATGGACCAATCAGTCTATAACCTTATGGAGTCCTGTGTGTAATTTCTCTTTGGGATTTGCCGGCTGTTGGGGTACTGGGCAGGACAGAAACCCCAACAAGCCAGCCCCCTCATGTTACATTCAGGGACCCAATTGTTCTTCTTAATCATTAATCTAAGCCACAGTCCTCAAGAGAAACTAGATGTATGATATTTCCTTGTTTTTGTTTTCTATCCTCTGCAGCCTCTTCTTTTCCAGGGGTGGAGGCAGCAACATTATCTTGCTTCTACGTATATTACTTTTCCCACTAAGATAACCTTTATCATAACCCCTCACTATATTTACTAAAGACTCTCAATCTTTAAATTCTATTGAAAGGTTGTCCACTCTCTCCATATCTATTCAATATAGTTTTTTTGAGGTTCTGGATAGAGCAATAAGACAACAGAAAGAGATCATGGGGATACAAATCAGAAAAGAAGTCAAATTCTCACTATTACAGATGATATGATAGTTTACATAAGCAACCCAAAAATTCTACCAAGTAACTTCTACAACTCATAAACATGTTCAGTAATGTAACAGGATACAAGATTAACTCAAAAAAATTGTAGCCCTCCTTTATACAGATGATAAATGGGCTGAGAAAAATCACCTTTCACATTAGCCACAAATAGCATAAAATATCTTGGAGTAACTCTAACCAAACAAGTGGAAGACCTGTATGACAAGAACTTTAAATATTTGAAGAAAGAAATTGTAGAAGACACCAAAAAATGAAAAAATCTCCCATGCTCTTGGGTAGGTAGAATTAACATAGTAAAGTAGCAAAGTTGCCAAAAACAATCTACAGATTCAAGGCAATGCCCATCTAAATCCCAACACAATCATTTACAGACTCCAAAAGAACAATACTCAACTTAATATTGAAAAGTAAAAAACCCAGTAGAGAAAAAAGAATCCTGTACAATAAAGGAACTTCTGGAGGCACCACAATCCCTGACTTCAAAATCTACTACAGAACTACAGTACTGAAAACAGCCTGGTATTGACCCAAAAACAGACAGGAGAACCAACAGAACTGAATCAAAGACCCAGATATCAATCCACATACCTATGAACACCTGATTTTTGACAAATAAAAAACATAAAATGGAAAAAAGAAAGCATAGTCAACAAATGATGCTAACATAACTAGATATCAACATGTAGAAGAATGAAAATTATCTATATCTATCACCATAACTCAAGTCCAAATGGATCAAAGACCCCAGCATAAAACCAAACACACTGAACCTCATAGAAAAAAAGAGTAGGAAGTACACTTGAACGCATTGGCACAGGAGATGACTTCCTAATTATAATCCCAGTAGCACAGACACTGAGAGAAACAACTAATAAATGGAACCTCCTGAAACTGAGAAGCTTCTGTAAAGCAAAGGATGCAATAAACAAGACAAAACAGAAGCCTACAGAGTAGAAAAAAAATCTTCACCAACCCCACATCAAATAGAGGTCTGATCTCCAAAATATACAAAGAACATGAGAAATGATCATCAGAAGAACAAATAATCCAGTAAAAAAAAATGGGGTACAGACCTAAACAGAGAACTCTCAACAAAAGAATCTAAAATGACTGAAAGACACTTAAGGAAATACTCAACATCCTTAGCCATCAGAGAAATGCAAATCAAAACAACTCTGAGATTCCATCTTAAACCTGACAGAATGGCTAAATTCAAAAAACTTCATCAAAAACTGATGAAAACTTACACTGGAGAGGATTTGGGGTAAAGAGAACACTCCTTCATTCCTGATAGGAGTACAAACTGGTACAGCCACTTTGGAAATCAGTATGGTGATTTCTCAGAAAATTAGGAAACAACCTTCCTCAGAATCCAGAAATACCACTTTTTGGTGTACACCAATTGATTGATGCTCAATCAATACCACAAGGGTATATGTTCAACTATGTTCTTAGCAGCACTGTTTCTCATAGCCAGAACTTGGAAACCACCTAAATGCCCCTCAACCGAATAATGGATAAGGAAAATGTGGTACATTTACACAATGAAGAACTACACAGCAGAAAAAAAATAATGACATCCTGAAGTTGGCGGGCAAATTGGTGGGTCTAGCAAACATCATATTGAGTGAGGTTATTCAGACCCAGAAAAACAAATACCATATGTACTCACTCATAAGTGTCTTTTAGACATAAAGCAAAGAAAGGCCAGTCTGCAATTCACAATCTTAAAGAACCCAGACAACAATGAGGACCTTAAGAGCGACATACATGGATTTGATCTACATGGGAAGTAGAAAAAGACAAGATCTCCAGAGTAAATTGGGAGCATGGGGTCCATAGAAGAGGAAGTGGGGAGCAGAGAAAAATATACAGCTCAATAAAATCAATAAAAAATTTAAATTCTATTTAAACTAGCCCTATTGTATAAAATCATTACTTCAGTTAAACAATACAGCTTAGGGGAAAATCATCTTTATAATAATCCACAGGTAAAAATGCCCACTAGAATAAGATATTTCCTTGAGATAATTGCACCACATTAGAGACAGTGGAGATCTCCCCACATCTATTCATACAATGCCAGATACAAGAGAAAATGGCAGTGGCAAACATAAAATAACACAGCAGTAGCAAGAGACATTCTGGGAGGCCAAGGTTCTCGGGGCCTTGCCTATCTGAGATTCACCCATCAGTGCCTTGCCTGCTGGTGGGTGTCCTGAAGTTAATTGCCATCTGCTGTTCCTCTGACATGGCCTCTAGCATGTGTGACTCATGATAGGTAAATTCCATTCCCATGGATGGTCTCATACCCAGGAGTATATGAACAGCATAAATTGGAATTGATGTGCTATTATTTTAAAAAATTAAGAGAACAAAATTGGAAAGTTAGCGAGATTGGGTTGAACTGGGAGGAGTTGTGGGTGAAGGTGATAAAAATACATTGTATGAAACTCAAAAATTAATAAAATATTTTAATTAACCTAAAAAGAGTGCCAATTCTACTATTGCAACTCAGTAAAATATGCAAAGTGCCCACAGAGGCAATAGAGATTGTTCATTCAGTATAGCGTTTACTGTGCAAGTATGAGGGCCTGAGTTCAGATTCTCAGAAGTCTCTTAAAAGCCAGGCACAGTTGTACACACCCATAACCCCAGGACTGGGGAGGTGAAGAAAGGTGGCTCCCTGGGACTCGCTTTCAACCAAATCCTTGCTAAAGCAGTGAGTTCCAGGTTCACTGAGAGATTCTATTTCAAAAATTAATGTGTAGAACAATTAAGAAAAGTGTTTGACATCAACCTTTAGCTCTACATGTACCCACATGTATATGTGTGTAAATATACATACATACATACACACACACACACACATGCAAGGAATCAGTCAATAGATACCTGTCATAGTACTGTTAAATACTGTTGTGACAGACAATTGAATGCTAAATAAAATGCTAAGAGAATGTTATTATTCTAAGGCGATCACCAGGTATAATAGATCCACTGAGTTGGCACTACCCACCTAGCAGATCAAAGGACCACTGCAGAAATGCCTCCCACTGTTGCTGCTCCCCGCTTGTGTCCTCTCCTCCAGGATTGTCAAAGGGTTCCATTAGAGTTGGTGTAGGATTTTGTAAAGATAGCAGGGAGGGCACTTGGATTTGTCTATAATGAGAACATCCAATGCCCATTTATTCAGCACAACAGCTGTTCAAGGGAAACACAACGATCCCCAAGTAATGGATGGGACAAGTCAATGTTGCCAAATAGAAATTAGCCATCTGAATTATCTGAAATCCCAATGCTTGTCTGTAGCAGACACGGGATTCACATTAAACCTGATTACAAGTTTACTACCTTTCCGTCACAAGGTTATGGCCCCCAAGAGTTGATCTCAGATGAGGGGAGGCACTTCTGATTTGCAGTGTAACTAAAGTTCAGAAAAAGAAATGTGCGCATACACTGAGTTGGAGAACAGAGTTGGAGTGCCTTGTAATCAAATTTTGTATTCAAAATTCCATTCTGATTGATTCTCTGAAGAGAAGAGAGTTTCAGAGATCAGATTTCATTATTGAGCAAAAACAATATGGTTGGTACAGTATGTGAACCATGGTGGGTGTGGGTAGTCATGAGAGCTGATACTTATCCTGCTTTTTACTTTAAGCTTGGAAACTATTTGTGGGTCTGTCTGTGACACGGGTTCAGATTTTCTGTTTTCCAAAGAATGTTTTCAGCTCCCAATAGTTCACTTCTAGATGCAACAGATGTTCCTTCTAAATGATTCATTACTTGGAGCTTAGAGAAAGCCTTTGGGATGTCAGCTCCCTTGATCTTTTGCTGAACTTCAGAAAATCAAAAGTAATTCTTTCAATCCGGTAAGAATTCTTTTTATCAATGCGGACCTGAGAGCTTCCCGCAGAGGGCCGTCGGAGGGAGTGGAGTGGGTCGGGCGGGGCCGAGCCGGGCGGTGGGCCGTGTGGGGGCCAGGCCAGGCCGGCGGACGGCAGGATGGGCTGCCTAGCGCTCTAAGATGATCGACAAGAACCTGCGGGAGGACGGCGAGAAGGCAGCGCGGGAGGTGAAGTTGCTTCTGTTAGGTGCTGGGGAATCAGGGAAGAGCACCATCGTCAAGCAGATGAAGATCATCCATGAAGATGGCTATTCAGAGGAAGAATGTCGGCAGTATCGTGCGGTTGTCTACAGCAACACCATCCAGTCTATCATGGCCATTGTCAAGGCCATGGGCAACCTGCAGATTGACTTTGCCGACCCCCAGCGTGCGGATGATGCCAGGCAGCTGTTTGCACTGTCCTGTGCTGCTGAGGAGCAAGGTATGCTTCCTGAAGATCTGTCCGGTGTCATCCAGAGGCTCTGGGCTGACCATGGTGCGCAAGCCTGCTTTGGTCGCTCACGGGAATACCAGCTCAATGATTCAGCCGCTTATTACCTGAGTGGCCTGGAGCGCATTGCAGAGTGACTACATCCCTACGCAGCAGGATGTACTGCGGACCCGTGTGAAAACCACGGGCATTGTGGAAACACACTTCACCTTCAAGGACTTACACTTCAAGATGTTCGATGTGGGTGGCCAGCGATCTGAGCGGAAGAAGTGGATCCACTGCTTTGAGGGTGTCACGGCCATCATCTTCTGTGTCGCCTTGAGCGCCTATGACTTGGTGCTGGCTGAGGATGAGGAGATGAATCGCATGCATGAGAGCATGAAGCTGTTTGACAGCATGTGCAACAAGTGGTTCACAGACACCTCCATCATCCTCTTCCTCAATAAGAAGGACCTGTTTGAAGAGAAGATCACACAGAGCCCTCTGACCATCTGTTTCCCCGAGTACACAGGGGCCAACAAGTATGATGAGGCCGCCAGCTACATCCAGAGCAAGTTCGAGGACCTGAATAAGCGCAAAGACACCAAGGAGATATACACACAATTCACGTGCGCCACCGACACCAAGAACGTGCAGTTTGTGTTTGATGCCGTCACCGACGTCATCATTAAGAACAACCTGAAGGACTGTGGCCTCTTCTGAGGGGCAGCAGGCCTGGCAGGATGGGCCACCGCCGACTCTGCTCCCTACTACTCCTGAGGAAGATGGGGGCAAGAAGACCATGCTCCCTGCCTGTTCCCCCACCCCACCCCCAGCTGCTTCTCCCATCTTTTCTCTCTGTTCTCAGCTCCCCTGTCCCCTCCCTTGGCTCTAGACTTGGGGGAGGGGTTGCCACAGGCCTCCCTTGTCTGAGGGGCCGGGAGTAGCCATGGTACACCCTTCTTGAGCATCTGTTGTGGTTTTCCGACCATTGTCTTGTTCTGGGGTGAGGGGAGCGCATGCAGAATTTCCCGAGGCCTGTGTCTGGAGGGGTGCCCACTTCTCCAGCCTAGACCCCTGGCTTTGTCCAACACCAGCCCTGACCCAAGTCCAAATGTTTACAAGGAGCCTCCTGCCTACCCTACCCTTTGCCGCTCGGAGGCCCCAAAGGAAAAAGCACAAGAAGCAAGAGAGACCACCATTCCTGGAGACACAATCCACCTGCTCATTCTCGTAGCTTTAAAAAAAAAGAAAGAAAGAAAGAAAGAAAGAAAGGAAGGAAGGAAGGAAGGAAGGAAGGAAGGAAGGAAGGAAGGAAGAAAGAAAGAAAGAAAGAAAGAAAGAAAGAAAGAAAGAAGAAAAGGAAAGGAAAAAAAAAGGAAAACTGCAAACCTAGAAGACTTTTTAGAGAAACCTATTTAAAACTGTCAGGTCCTGACCAGCACCCCTCCTCCCTAGTTCCCTTTCCAGTGATTCCGAGCCTTGAGTGTGTCTGTGTGTTTACACCCATCCCTCTTCGGGCGGCCCCCTGCCCTGCCCTCCACGGAATTGGATTCCAAGGGCTGTTCCAGAAAACTGCCAATGTCCCTGAGGGCCCTGCCCTGAAGCCCTGGGCCCAGGCTCCATTAACCTAAATGTAGCTCCTTAGCGCTAATCTAGGAACCGCCGCTGCCTGCTGAGGGGCCAGGCCCCTCATGCCCTCACCCCAGGCCCGGGTCCTTCAGCGTTGAACACTTCCTTGCTTTTTTCACATGTTTTATGGAATTGTTCACATGATTTGAAATAATAAAATGTAGAAACCAAAAAAAAAAGAATTCTTTTTATGCAGTGCTGTTGAGGTATGACTTTTTACAGGAAACAGTATGGTACATACTTAATGTATGCGATTATTAAATATGTTTGGATATATGCATTATTTGTACTTGTGTATATATGCACATGTGTGTATATATGTATGTGTGTATAATTTGTTTGCATTCATGTATGTGAGTCTAAGTGTACGCACCATAATGTACTTGTAGAGGTTGAAGGACACCCTTGGGTATTTGTCATCTTCCACCTTGTTTGAGGAAGGATATCTGAAGTTGCAGCTAACTGACCTTGAAGATTCTGAAGATTGTTGTTTCTTCATAACCTAGATCTCCACAGTAGTACTGAGACTACAGATGGGTATTCTTGCACCCTGCTTATACGGGTCCTGAGAACTCAACATCAGTTCCTCGCACTTGGAGGGCCAGTGTTTTTTACCCCTGAACCCAAGTCATATACTTTATGTGAAAACTTTTGGTGTTTCTTTTTCCTGTAATAGTCTATCATTGTTATGTGTAATACATATTTTGTATTGTAATTTTAAGCATTTATTTTATAGTATAGAGCTCATAAAATTTCTATTGGATCACCTAATGACTAATTTCTGGGTGGTATGGATTGCGTGGAAACATCAAACCTCACAGCTTTAAGTTCCCAGTATTGAAATAGTGTTCTTTTGTTATAATCTTTGCCAAAGTGCATAATCTATGTTATTTTCTTACCAGACATTCTTCTGGTTTGAAATTTTGGAAGCCATTTATTCATAATTACCTTCTTAAATTTCTTAAACATTTTACAATTTTGTAGTGAAGCAAGTCAAGGTCAATAATGAATGACTAGATAGTTCAACGGATGTCTTGGAACTTAGGATCACTTTATTCCTCAACAGCAATACAATTACATCAAAAATTATTGAAATACATTTAATGGTTATAATAATAACAATGTCAGACACTATGGTTACAATTCTGTGTTTTCTGTATGCCAAGTACTACATGCAGAATTCAACTCAATTAATCCAAGCCATTCTAAAAACTTAGGCATAAATATTATTGAGCTACAAGTAAATAAATGAAGACATCAGAGACTGTGATTTAGCCAAATTTATACATTTAGCCAGGTTTATACACCAAGCAACCTGCAAACAAATTTGTCTAAATGCTTAGCCCAGGTTCTTATTGCTACCACATCCCATCATTCGATTGCAGAATTGTTAGTATTGGTACATATGTGTGTGCCTTGCCTGCTAATTATCATATTTCTATTTTTACTATCAATATATGTCTCTCAAGAACAACTAAAAGAAACAAAAGAGGAAGTTTGGTAAAACTGATGATTATTTCTTAATTTCTACAAGCTAGTCAGGAGTTGTCTATATTGACATAAATAGAATGATCTTAACTTTGTCGTCTTTGATCTTAATTTTTTTTCCTTGTCTAAACTCTCATCAGTCACCATCTTGGCTTTTTTCCAAAAGTGAACAAGGTGACATTTGAAAACACTGCTGGGGTAGTATATGTGGTATGCATTTTACATTTTCTAAGTATTTCCCTGCCATGCAAAGTATTGTGTCCTAGGAAAATATGTTTCCATAAAAATAAAAACCAAATAGTTGTGACATATAGTATTTATTCTACACAACAAATGTTCAGAGTTAAGTCACACAGCACAGTCTATATTGTACTATGTGCCCTGTTTGTTAAATTCAAGCTAGGTTTAATACAATAAACAGTTGTTCGATCCCTACTGTATACCAGGGTTTGCATTTGGGACTAGTGAGACTGTAGTGAACTACTTAGACACTGCTTTCACTTCTGAAAAAGAAAACCGATAAATATGTTTGCGGAGAATATTTCAACAAAACATATGGTCCAGTCTTGAAAAGGGAGGAGGGACATGGATGGGAAAGAGGGATCAAGGCGTTTCTTCTCACAACAGGAATCCCCCTCTCCCTTGTGTTCCTAATGAAGAGTCTAGTCAGTTTGCCTGGAGGACAAACTTTAACATTAAAAATGAACCATGGCCCAGCCAGTCAATGCATGTCATCCTCTCTAATAATTTTAGATTTTATCCAGAACACAACAGGAAGTCTTTAACAAGTTTCTCTTTATAACATATCCAGAAATGCCCTAAAAATAGCCTGCATTTTTGCTCCAGAACAAAAGAATGAATTAGAATCAAACCGAATTTCTGTAGGGAGACCAGGTGGGTGACAGTTATAATAATATGAGGAGGGCAATGTTCAAAACCTAGAGGAAGAGCCCCAGAACTAGACAAATTCCATCAGTACAAATGCAACAGAATTTTCACGGATTTCTTTGATTTGGTGTAACTAAAGAAAGACAGATGTCAAGACTGACTCTCAGGTTTGATGTTGTGTTGAGAGTCATGGAAGGTTCAATTTTGTATATTAATTCAACAAACATATTTTGAGCAGAGATGATAGCCCTGGATTACTTTGGGTGCTGGAGAAAATTTTTTGTGGGGAAAATGAGTCCCTGGTGAGCTGTGCCTTATCTGCTAATACGGAGATATTCAAGCAGAACAACTGTTCCCCGTGTTCTAAAGCAGTATCTCTGCCTACAAGTGTTATTTCAGTGTTGTTCCAACATCTGGCCTAAAACTTAACATCAGTTTAGATTTAATAATTCCCAATTGAAACACTGGAAATAAGTCATGTGCGAAATAAAGCCTCTCTTTGGATTGAAATGTGGTTCTTGTTAGAGAAGAGTTCTGCTAAACTATAAAGCACAATATGATGCACGAGCAAAAGCCACAATGCACTAAAGGAGGGCAGGGTGGAGAAGGCTAGTAGAAGTGAGGCTCTGTCATATCTTAAAGAAGGACTCTCAACTTGTTAGGAACATGGAGCTTTGGGGCATACTTATTGAAACTTTTGCAACTCTAAATGAAAATTTAAAAATTGAAATATACAGAGGGTCAGTTTATCTATCTAAGAAGAAGGGGAGAGGACCATCAGCATTCTAAGAGATGAGCATCCGACTGTCAGACGACAGTCACGAAGCCCTTGGGGTGCCTGGTGTGTCTCAGGGACAGGAAAGGAGTCAACTCTGTTGGAGTCTGTGAATGGCAGGAGACTGGGATGAAAAGACTAGAGAAATGGGAGACCTCACAAAGTCTTAGGGGTCTTATGGAGGATGAGCTCTCCTCTGCGCGTGTCAGGAGACTATTTGTCATAGCACGATTTCTATTGCTGTAAAAGAAAAATAGTGGAGGGCATTTTTATTTGGCTTATTCCTCCTGATCACAGCCTATCACTGAAGAAGTCGGGGCAGGAACTCAGGTCACTACAGAGGCAGAAACTAAGAGGAAAGCTGCTACTGGCTTTTGCTCCATGCCTTGTTCAGTTTGTCTTCTACAATCCAGGGCCATCTGCCTAGGGGTGCCACCATGTACAGTGGGCTGTGCCTTCTCACAACAGCCATTGCTCAAGAATATTTCCCCACAAACCTGCCAACAGGCCAGCTTGTTGAACACAAACCCCCAAATGAGGCTCCCTCCTTCTAGGTGACTCTAGCTTGTGCCAAGATGGGGGAAAAAAAAAGTAAGCAGCAGCACACCATTAGAGAGTACTGAGAAGAAAAGCGGCACAATGTGACTCACGTAACTAAGCGTCCCTGGCTCCTGGGCACAGAGGAGTGTTCAAGTAAGGCTAATCCAAGGAGTTTACAGTGGGTGGGACACTCGGGGGTCAACGAAATGACTCAGTCCTTTCTTACTGACGTCCTTTCCTCTTCCTCTCTCTTAATTTGCAGTGCCATTTTCTAAATAGAAGAGCTGCCTTGTTGAGGAGCCTGCTGTATTTAAGAGTCTGGTGGGAGCCAGGGTGGTTGCTCTGGAGGAAGGAGTGAGGGTTGAGATTTCAGAAATAGGACAGGAACCCTTTGGAATTTCTTCTACATTACGCGGGCAGTTCTCTGTGGGTGGGGACTTTAGACACTAGCCTGTTACAGCCAGAGATAGCACACACATATTTGGGAGGTCCCTTTGGAATTCAAACACATTAGAGAGTAGGGGTATAGGTGTGTGGAATGTGTTGCCCTGAAGAAAATCCCCTATGGTCCCCTGGGAAATAACGAGACAGTTGTTTTCCTG